AAAATAAAAGCAACAAATTAGTAAAAAAAAAAAAAAAAAAAGAAAAAAAAAAAAAAACGCACGATTTTTAGACCTTTTTGTGAAGAACTGAAGCCATGTTCACGCCACAATATCTGTTTTCTGGCACGTTTTTTTCGAAATGCGCGGAAAACAGACTTCGCATTTAGACGAACGAAGAAGAAGAAGAAAAGAAGTGTAATGAACGAACGTGTCGGATCACCCCGCAGCGAGAGGGCGAGCGCTTTGAGTCCCGTTTTAAGAATCGGGCTGAATTTTCGGTTCTTTAAAGAGGGGGAATTTTCACTTTTGTGGGGTCACCGTGTTCCTTTTATCGTTTTGAAAATGTTCTATTCGCCCAAAACAACGTATTAACATGTTTTAATTTGGTTTTCGCCGATCTGAATCTCTCCGCTCCCTTTGCTCTCCGTGCTAAGTCACTCCCCCTTCAGAGCGCCGTCGTCCCGCGACCGAAACTCCCGCACGTCATCGCGTCGGGTTTGTGAAGTAGTAGTAGTAGTAGTGTCGGGTTTTTTTGTCACGTTTTTGTGCATTTACGAAGATTTTGTCGTGTGGGAGCGCGGGTGGCGTAGGCTCGTGGGCGGAGCCTCGTACAGAATCGTACCCAGGGGCCTCAGAGATCGCTAAATGACTCAAACATGCATGAGTGTCTCTCAAACCTCTTAAGGCGACGTATTGACATGTTTTGCAAGTTTTCATTTTGTTAAAGTTTTTGGCGATCCGAGCGTCTACACTTACATTTGCTCTCGCCGCTAAGTCACTCCCCCTTCAGAGCGCCATCATCCCGCTACTGAAACTTTGAATAAGGCCCGGGAGAGATCGCTAGATGACTCAAACACGCACGGATGACTCTCAAACCTCTTCAGGCGACGTACTAACGTGTTTTGTAAGTTTTAATTTTGTTAAAGTTAAAGTTTTGGGCGACCCGAGCGTCTACACTTACATTTGCTCTCCGCGCTAAGTCACTCCCCCTTCAGAGCGCCATCGTGACACACTCACCGTGCGTCCCGCGACTGAAACTCCTGCACATCCTCGCGTCGGGTTTGTGAAGTCGTAGTGTAGTTTTTGTGTATTTACGGAGGAGATTTGTCGTGTGGGAGCGCGGGTGGCGTGGGCTCGTGGGCGGAGCCTCGTACAGAATCATACAGAGGGTTTAAACAGCGCCCGCCGCCCGTTTGTCTCCGTGGCGATGTGATTGCTTTGTCTAGAATGTTCCGCAGTCTAAATGAAACCAATCGCGAGAGACACGAGCAGGTTTCGCGTTAAGAAGTGCGATTCGTTTCAGGTTCGTTTCGGGTTTTTTGGCTTGTGGGCGGAGCTTTAGAAAGGGGGCGTGGTCTCATACTGCGGACCAAAAGCGGGGTTTGAACAGGGCCCGGGAGAAGAGATCGCTAGATGACTCAAACATGCACGGATGACTCTAAAAACCCCTTCAGACATTCAGCGAAACACCCCCTCTTTAAAGGCGCACTGCGTAACTTTTCCTGGTACGAGTCCAGCGCCTGGCGATGTCCCGCAGTACGGCATTAACCCGGCTTATTACGTAAGTCGAGGTGTTTTTTCTTTTCTTTTCAACAATAAAACAACACCTTAAAAAATAAATTGATCAGTTTAAATGTCAAACTGTGAACATTTCCGGGTAATTAAACAACATCTCCACGGTGACAGAAAGTTACACAGTGCATCTTTACGATACTTTAAATTCAACCTTGTGTTTTTGTTTTTTTTCGTTTTTCTCGCCGCTGCGGAATACTGCGTTTTGCGTTTTTCAAGTACGGCGGCGTGAACATGGCGAGGAGCAGACCGGGGCTGAGACAGAAGAGCGGATTTGTACAAAAACAGCCGGAGTTGGTGGTTCGGTGCTGCGTTGTCATGACGACGAAGGCGGGCTTTTGGGCGTGAGTTTGTTCACCACGGCGACGGCGGCCTCCACCGTCCTGTACAAAGTGTCCAACATGTCGGGAGCGAAGGGCATTCCCTCGAGGCAAGACGGGAAAACCACCTCGTCCGAACTCTTCGCCTCGGCTTCTGGCTTCGTTTCGTCTTTTGAGGCACATGTTTGGTCCTCCGCCGCCTCCCGTTCCTGTTTCCCGCCGCGTGGCTCCTCCGCTTCCTGCGTCGGCCCCGCCTCCAGGCAGGAAGCGGAGGGCAACGAGGAGGAGGAGGAGGCGTCCGGTTTGGAGTCTTTCGGCGCCGCGTGGTCCGGCTGAACGGCGGGGGGCGCCGGAGGGGAGGGCGGGTCGTGCTCGCTGCCCGGGTCGATGATGGAGGAGGAGTCCCGCGTTTCCGTGTCGGAGGAGGGGTCGTGGGGGTCGTGGGGGTCGGGTTTGGGGTCGCAGACGGGGCCGGAGGACGTGGAGGGGGCGTCGTCTCCGCTCACCCGCCGTCGCTTCACCGGCGTCGCCCCGTCGTCGTCGGCTGGAAATAAAAAAAAAAAAAGAGACAGAAATCAGGAGTTAAACCCACAACCTCCGCGGACAGAGAGACGCGGACGGACGAGCGCGACGTGACCCGCGGCGCTCGGCTCCAGTCAAACGAAGCTCACTGAGGCCGGCGGTTTGTTTTCAGATTCTAAAATGTGTTGATGCCGTTCTCCCAGACGAGGAAAAGGCGAGTTGAGTTTGAGCTGACGTCATTGTTATTAAAAGTCCGCGTTGCTGCTGGGAAATATTTTGGTCGGAGGCAGAAACACGATAGCGTCAAACACAGTGCGTAACCTCGAGTATTTATCCCCGATAATGGTAAATTCCTGCTGCATTATCGGACGCACAAATAGGCTACGTTCAGACTGCAGGTTTAACGCTCAATTCCAATTTTTTTGTGAAATCCGATGTTTTTTCGAGGTCGTTCACATTTCCAGTTAAATGTGACTTGTGTGTGACTCCAGTGTGAACATTAAACGGTCCAAAAGTGTCCCACATGTGACACTGGAGACACGACGACGTCAACCGCAGCGAGCGTCTCTGTGTTTACACAAGTTGAACAAACATGGACGCAGCATCGAGCACCTGGAGATTTTAAAGTTCCTCTCGTACCGGAGCCACAACATGAACAACTGACTTGTTTTAAGGAGGAGATTGAGAAGGAGAAGGACCAGGTTTTTGGTGGTGGTGTTTTGTGGTGAGTGGAGATGTGCTTCACTTCAGTCACATGGATCATGAACAGTTTTCTCTACTTCAGTGCAGAATAGTGACGTTTGTGTCTTGTTGATGACGTGTAGGTGGATGAATGTGACCTGACTGTTCACACTCAAGTCACATGTTAAAGATCAGATATGGATCAGTTTCAGGAGCACAGATCCAAGTGTCCTGGGTCATGTTTGAAAAAATCAGATCTGTGTGGTTCAGACTCACATTAAAATATCAGATACAGGAACATAGGGGCCAAAAATCAGATTTGGGTCACTTCAGGTGCAGACTGAACGCAGCCATAGAAGCACGGAAGAAGGAAAATGTCTTTTTCGTATTCTGAGTGAAAAGAACCGCTAACGGTGAATTAAACGACTTTCAAACATCCGCAGAGCAAACGTAGAAGATCCTAACAAACAAAAATATCACTGGTTTTGCAGTGATATTTACCAGCCTCTGCACGTTTACCAAACCAAACACACATCGTGACAAACACAGATGCATTTGTCACTTTTGTTAGACAAACTTCAGCCAAATGTGGCAGTAGGTCTGTTCTGTAGATCCGCTCTATGCTGTAGACCTGCTTTGTGCCAACACTGGAACACAAATTTAGACTGGTTTTTGCTTCACGTTTGGTCTTGTTCTTCTAATCAGCCGCACTGTGGGAGGGGCTTGTGTTGGCTGTACGCAGGAAGGAGCGAGAGCGTGAAAAGGCGAGGGGCGGCGTGCTGACGTGAGGCAGGTGGACAGGTAGGATGTTTAGGAAGTTGAACCTGCCCTGTGATGCACGCTGGTACACGAGGGCACACGCTGTCGCAGACGAGCCGTGCATAGGGAGCGTGTGTGTTTGTGATGCGCCGTAGAGTCTCCGCGGGTTTCAAATGAGCGCACAGGCTGCACTGAGACGCCCCACACGCTCCTGCACCCGCTACAAGTTTATTACCAACAGCAGCGGCCGGAATGAAATATGATCACACTTGTTGAGTGTCAGACCTCGAGTGAGAGACAAGACCGAGTCCAAACACGAGTCCGAGACGAGACACGGCGATCTACCCACACGACCTTGTGATCGACTGGTAGATCGAGATCGACGTATTGAGCACTACTGCTTTACGTGCTTTCTCGCTCCGTCCGTCATGTTGAATTAGTGTTTCTTGCCGCCGACCAAAATAATTCCCAGCATGCAACGCACGCTTTTGTCAACAATGAAACTCGCCTGTATAACAAGACAAAATGAACATATTTGACTCACTGCAACTTCACTTTACACAGGAAATGTCGGCTCCTGCTCTCTCATTTTATAAAATACATTTCCACCAAAAAGTGCGGCTTATATGTTTTTTTCTTCTTCATGACACATTTTTTGGCTGGTGCGACTCATAGGTTCATAGTTCGGGTTTGGGTCTGATCCTGATCTAAACCCCTCTGCCGCGGCGGGACGTACCTTTGCCGCGCTGCGCCTCGGTTTCCATGGCGCTGCGCTGCTGCACGCACAGACGACATCGCCCCAGCAGCTCGGAGAGGGCGGGGCTGAGGGCGGGGCCGAGGGCGGAGTCTGAGGCCTGAGGCTGAGACGAGAGGAGCAGCAGGAGCACCCGAAGGTCCTACAGGACGAGAGAGAGACGGTCTGAACCAGGACTAAAACAGGACTGAACCAGGACTAAAACAGGTCTGAACCAGGACTAAAACAGGTCTGAACCAGTCTGAACCAGGACTAAAACAGGACTGAACCAGGTCTGAACCAGGACTAAAACAGGTCTGAACCAGGACTAAACCAGGACTAAAACAGGTCTGAACTAAACAGGACTAAACCAGGACTAAAACAGGTCTGAAAGGTCTGAAGGACTAAACAGGTCTGAACCAGGACTAAACCAGGACTAAAACAGGTCTGAACCAGGACTAAACCAGGACTAAAACAGGTCTGAACCAGGACTAAAACAGGTCTGAACCAGGACTAAAACAGGTCTGAACCAGGACTAAAACAGGTCTGAACCAGGACTAAAACAGGACTAAAACTGAACCAGGACTAAAACAGGTAAAACAGGTGAACCAGGACTAAAACAGGTCTGAACCAGGACTAAAACAGGTCTGAACCAGGACTAAAACAGGTCTGAACCAGGTCTGAACCAGGACTAAAACAGGTCTGAACCAGGTCTGAACCAGGACTAAAACAGGTCTGAACCAGGACTAAACCAGGACTAAAACAGGTCTGAACCAGGACTAAACCAGGACTAAAGGACTAAAACAGGTCTGAACCAGGTCTGAACCAGGACTAAAACAGGTCTGAACCAGGACTAAACCAGGACTAAAACAGGTCTGAACCAGGTCTGAACCAGGACTAAACCAGGACTGAACCAGGACTAAACCAGGACTAAAACAGGTCTGAACCAGGACTAAAACAGGACTGAACCAGGACTGAACCAGGACTAAACAGGTCTGAACAGGACTAAACAGGTCTGAACCAGGACTAAAACAGGTCTGAACAGGACTAAACAGGACTAAAAAGGACTAAAACAGGTCTGAACCAGGACTAAAACAGGACTGAACCAGGACTAAAACAGGTCTGAACCAGGTCTAAATCAGGTCTGAACAGGACTAAAAAGGACTAAAACAGGTCTGAACCAGGACTAAAAGGACTGAACCAGGACTAAAACAGGTCTGAACCAGGTCTGAACCAGGACTAAAACAGGTCTGAACCAGGACTAAAACAGGTCTGAACCAGGACTAAAACAGGTCTGAACCAGGACTAAAACAGAACCAGGACTAAAAACAGGACTAAAACAGGACTAAAACAGGTCTGAACCAGGACTAAAACAGGACTGAACCAGGACTAAAACAGGTCTGAACCAGGACTAAAACAGGTCTGAACCAGGACTAAAACAGGACTAAAACAGGTCTGAACCAGGACTAAAACAGGTCTGAACCAGGACTAAAACAGGTCTGAACCAGGACTAAACAGGACTGAACCAGGACTAAACAGGTCTGAACCAGGTCTGAACCTAAAACAGGACTAAAACAGTTCTGAACCAGGACTAAAAACAGGTCTGAACCAGGACTAAACCAGGACTGAACCAGGTCTGAACCAGGTCTGAACCAGGACTAAAACAAGACTAAACCAGGACTAAACAGGACTGAATCAGGACTAAACCAGGACTAAACCAGGTCTAAACCAGGACTAAACCAGGACTAAACCAGGACTAAACCAGGACTAAACTAACTAACTAACAGGACTAAAGATGATACGCAGCTTTACATCTCCATGTCTCCTGATGACACCAGACCAATGGATGCCCTTTTTAACTGCATTCTAGAAATTAAGTCCTGGATGGTAGAAAACTTCCTCCAGCTTAACCAGGACAAAACTGAGGTTTTAGTCATTGGTCCTGAGGCCCAGAGAGAGAAACTTTTACCCAAATTCCAAACACAGTCCTTTAACCCATCTCCTCTAGTGAAAAACCTGGGCGTCATTTTTGACTCTGAGCTAACTTTTATCCCACACATTAAGAACATCACAAAAATTGGTTTTTATCACCTAAAAAACATAGCCAGAGTCCGCCCCATTCTCTCTCTGGCCAACACCGAGACGCTGATGCTTTTATCACCAGTCGAATAGACTACTGTAATGCCCTGCTCTCTGGTCTTCCCAAAAAGAGTATTTCAGGTTTGCAATTATTACAAAATTCAGCAGCACGTGTCCTGACGAGGACCAGAGGGCGGGACCACATTACACCGGTTTTAAAATCACTGCACTGGTTCCTGTGTGTTTCAGGATCGATTTTAAAGTTCTTTTACTGGTTTTTAAATGTCTTAATGGTCTTGGGCCTTCTTATCTTTCAGAACTGCTTTTACCTTACGAACCCTCGCGGACCCTGCGCTCCTCTGGCAGCAGGTTCCTGGTCATTCCAAAGTCAGGAACACACACTCACGGAGAGGCGTCTTTTCAGCACTATGGCCTCGTCTATGGAACTGCCTGCCAGAGGAGCTCAGGGCTGCAGAGAACGTTCATGTTTTTAAGAGTAGGCTCAAGACCCACCTTTTTAGCTTAGCTTTTGATTGAAATCTTATACTTTTACTTGTTTTTATTTATTGTACACATTTTACTATATTTATTTATCTTAGGCATATTTTTTAGGATTTCCAGTGTTTCCTTTGTAGGAGCCTCTGCATCGGGAGTGGAGGTCAGCTGTGGCTGCTGGGTCTGTCATGTGGGCTCCTGGTGGAGGGATGGTGCTTGGGCCTCAGGTGTCTGGGCTTCATCTCTCCCCTGGACCCTGTGGTGGTTCCTGGTGGTGGTGGACGTCTCTCTGCTCCCGGTGCAGACGGCTCCTCTGATGGTGCTTCTCAACTGGTTCGCCTGTATTCAGCCTCACATTTTATTGTGTCCGGTTATGTATTTTAGCGTGTGAGTGTGAGTGTGTGTGTGTGTGTGTGTGTGTGTGCATGTTTGTGTGTATGTGAGTGTGTGTTTGGGTTGTTTGACTATGTGGGGTTGGGGGTGCGGGGGTTGGGTTGGTGGGTGGGTGGTTGGGTGGTTGGAAATGCGGGACTGTTTTTAATCACTGTAAAGCACTTTGTGTTGCATTTTGTATGAAAAGTGCTTTATAAATAAAGTTTGATTTGATTTGATTTGATTAAACCAGGACTGAAGCAGGTCTAAATCAGGTCTAAAGCAGTTCCGAACTAGGACTAAAGCAGGACTAGCACTTGTTCGGCAAACCTGGTCCAAATCCTGGTCCAACCCAGATCTAACCTCAGTCAAAACCCTGGTCTATCCCCAGTCTCCCAAGCCTAACCCTGATCCAAACCCTGATCCAAACCCTGATCCAAACCCTGATCCAAACCCTGATCCCCCCGGTCTGTCGTCCCCGGTCTGTCGTCCCCGGTCTGTCGTCCCCCGGTCTGTCCTCGGTCTGTCGTCCCCGGTCTGTCGTCCTCGGTCTGTCGTCCCCGGTCTGTCGTCCCCGGTCTGTCGTCCCGGTCTGTCGTCCTCGTCGTCTGTCGTCCCCGGTCTGTCGTCCCCGGTCTGTCGTCCCCGGTCTGTCGTCCCCGGTCTGTCGTCCCCGGTCTGTCGTCCCGGTCTGTCGTCCTCTGTCTCTGTCGTCCCCGGTCTGTCGTCCCCGGTCTGTCGTCCCCGTCTGTCCCGGTCTGTCGTCCCCGGTCTGTCGTCCCCGGTCTGTCGTCCCCGGTCTGTCGTCCCCGGTCTGTCGTCCCCGGTCTGTCGTCCCCGGTCTGTCGTCCCGGTGTGACTCACGGCGTTGAGCAGGCTGCAGCTCTTGTGCAGCTCCCCCTTGTGGCTGCAGAGCGCCGGCTGCAGGCTGCTCTCTTCGTTCAGGAGGTTTGTGACTAAAACACTGATGAGGTTGGAGCGTCCGGGCGCAGACAGGACCTGGACTTTGGGCATGAAGCAGGACAGAAAGGAGAAGGCCGGACCCAGGTTGACAAAGGAGCGCTCGTCCATCACGATACACTTCATGTATTCACTGAAGGCCGGGTCCTCGCACAGAAGCTTCACACACGACTTGGACAGCGCCGTCTGAGGACAGAGACACATGGACATACAGATGTGCTCAGAGACACAGTCCACTGCACACATCTGTCCACATGTGACACTTTAACATTAAACACAGTGTTTCGGTTTCATTTGGACACAAACTCTGTTCTAAAGACAAACCTGAACACGTCAGTGTGTCGTGTAAATCCTAAAGTCTAAAGCCTCAACATCTTCTGTGTCTTTGCACCTTTTCAACTGATTTACATTTACAGAGCAGCAGCGCTGGGGGCAGAAATCTATGGTTTTATATTAGGGGTGGGACATTGAATTAATAACAAAGAAATGAATCAGTAAAAATATGAACAGATTTTACTGCAGTTTGTCAGTGCCTCATGTGGTGGTGCGACAGACACTGACACACACACTTCTGACCACAACAACAGTGGAGCAGGAAAACCTCCAGCTCTGCTGTACGGACATTTGTATAAAAAAAACCGACCTGAGGGAAATATTGACAAAGGCGTCGTTTACTGCAAACTGCAGAAAAGAGTTTCAGATCACAGACGCAGCTCGACTCTGCGACACCATTTAAATGTAAAACATTTAAGACTGTGGATCTGCAGCAGGAGCAGTTCTGCTCCGAGTACAAACAACATCACAAACATTTAAAGTTTTTTTTTTTAATCCAGAAAAAGTTTAAAGTTCTACACAATAATCAGGACACAATCGGGACATTTGACTTTTGTTTTTCATTTTCCATGTTTGGAAAATAGGCAAATTATTCTCCAGGTCACTGAGTCATGTGCAAATTTTTTCCCTACTTCCCTTCCCTTCATTTTGTGGATTTTTTCCCCCTTACTGTACACAGTGTAAATGAAAAAAAAAAAATAAATAAATAAATAAAACAATAAAAAAATAAAACTATTCATAAATAAATAAAACAATAAATAAAAAAACTATAAATAAATAAATAAAACAATAAAAAAAAACTATTCATAAATAAATAAAACAATAAAAAAATAAATAAATAAATAAAACAATAAATAAAAAAACTATTCATAAATAAATAAAATAATAAATAAAAAACTATAAAAAATAAATAAAAAAATAAAACTATACATAAATAAAAAAAATAAAATAAAAATAATAAATAAATAAAAATAAATAAACAAACAAGCAAGCAAACCTGTAAAAATCTTGGTTGAGATTCAAGTCCAAGCAGAAAGCACAAAACATGAACACATTTTAACCATAAAACCATCACTTTTTACTCAATATTCTAATTTGGCAAATCTCTAAAAGCAAATCGAGAGAATTTGAAACAACACTAAAACCAAAACAGTGTATGTGAGGTTTGAGCCGTGGCCCCGGCGGTGTCTCTGCGTTTGCACTGACCTGAGACTGACACAGCTCCGTCCACAGTTTGGGAAACAGCGTGAGGTGCAGCGGCAGGCCTTCGTACGCGATCAGAACACCTGAGGCACGAGACGACACACGTGACACACAAAAACAAAAGAAAAACCAGACATTTTAAAGCTCCTGTATCACACAAACCGACTCCTGTGAGCTTTAAGTCGTGTCAAAAACAAACCCGCAGTTGTGTTTTGTTTCATTCACATTCGCACTTTCACCTTTCAGTTCAGTGGAGAACGGCGACTCCGGGGAAGATGATGATGTCGATGTTAAATAAATGACTAATTGTTAAGAAATAACTCCAGCTCCAGGTGAACAGACGCTCGATTTGAAGTTCACAGGTCAGAACGCTCCACTTCACACGAGCGTCACGTGAGAGTTAAATGAGCGTGTTTATATAAATACTTCTAGGACAGTGGTCACCAACCTGTAGATCGCGATCAACAGCTGGATCTTTGCCGTGTCCCCGGTAGATCTCCATCTTAATTCAACAATTTGTGATAGATAATGTAATAGAACTTCTCTCATTAACCCTTCGATACACTGTTAATGCTGTTTAATGGTCAAATTTGCACTATTTTGGTTGTTTCACTGCATTTGGTTTGCATTTTGTTTGTATTGCAGTTGCACATTTCTTTTCTTGCAGAGAGTGTTTCAGTCCCCATTCTGTAATGAGTGTTCCTTTAGTAAGAATGCAAAAATAAAGCTGTCTGGAACTATAAACATGATAACGTTTGCTGTTATTTACGTTCATGTTGGTAGATCTTGCGCTTTTCCTCAGACCAAACATGTAGATCTTTCTCTGAAAAAGGTTGGTGACCACTGTTCTAGGACTTTTAAGTAGAGCAGACGTAGAGTATTTTATGGGTGTGTCAGTGGAGAGACACATGAGGGTCCTGGTGCACAGCTCAGTTCTGTCTGTTTTAAAGTTACACACAAAGAACCGACTGTGACTTTTAGCGTCGCACAGAACAACAATTCAACTGCAGTATTTTTCAGACTATAAGTGTCACTTTTTCATGGTTTGTGTGTTTCCTGTGACTTATTCTCCGGCGTAACTTATTTTCTGGATTATAAGGCACACTGTCACTGAATGCTCTATTTTTATTTATTTCTTCTATTTTTAAGGCAAACACACATTCACCAAGACAGGGAGACGGCGCCGAGCGACTTAAAGACCTGAATAATTCTAACTGGAACTGACGCCGAGTCTGACGACGGCGACGCAGAAGAGTTTACCTCTGTTTCCCTCCGGAGGTCGAGGCCGAGTTGTTCAGAAGTGACACCGAGGATGAAGAACCGAATGGATTTAGTGATTTGGAGTTTATCAATTACATTTCTGCCAAAAAGTGTGACTTGTATATGTTTTTTTCTTCTTCAGTAAACATTTTCTGGCTGGTGTGAAAAATACGGTACAAGACTCTCCCCTTTAGTCCTCCAGACCCCCACTCTCTCCCCTTTAGTCTCTCCCAGACCCCCACTCTCTCTCCCTTTAGTCCTCCAGACCCCCTCTCTCCCTTTAGTCCTCCAGACCCCCTCTCTCCTTTGTCCTCCAGACCCCCACTCCTCCCTTTAGTCCTCCAGACCCCCCTCTCCCCTTTAGTCCTCCAGACCCCCACTCTCTCCCCTTTAGTCCTCCAGACCCCCACTCTCTCCCCTTTTAGTCTCCAGACCCCCACTCTCTCCCCTTTAGTCCTCCAGACCCCCACTCTCTCCCCTTTAGTCTCCAGACCCCCACTCTCTCCCCTTTAGTCCTCCAGACCCCCACCCACTCCTTCTCCCCTTTAGTCCTCCAGACCCCCCTCCCTTTACTCCCCCCCACTTTAGTCCTCCAGACCCCCACTCTCCCTTTAGTCTCCAGACCCCCCCACTCTCCCTTTAGTCCTCCAGACCCCCTCCCCCCCTTTAGTCCTCCAGACCCCCACTCTCCCCTTTAGTCCTCCAGACCCCCACTCTCTCCCCTTTTAGTCCTCCAGACCCCCACTCTCCCCTTTAGTCCTCCAGACCCCCCCCACTCTCTCCCCTTTAGTCCTCCAGACCCCACTCTCCCCTTTAGTCCTCCAGACCCCCACTCTCCCTTTAGTCCTCCAGACCCCCCACTCTCCCCCTTTAGTCCTCCAGACCCCCACTTCCCCCTTTTCCTCCAGACCCCCCACTCTCCCCTTTAGTCCTCCAGACCCCCTCACTTTTCCCTTTAGTCCTCCAGACCCCCCCCACTCTCCCTTTTAGTCCTCCAGAATCCCTCACTCCCCCTTTAACCCTCCAGACACCCTCACTTTTCCCTTTAATCCTCCAGACACCCCCCTCCCTCCCCTTTAGTCCTTCAGTAATATAAATTCACGCTTTCGATGGATGAAATAATCCAAAGAGCGTTTTATGTTTTGCCTTTTATGTTTTACGTTTTATGTTTTTGTGTTTTATGTTTTGTGTTTTGCCTTTTATGTTTTTTATGTTTTGTTTTATGTTTTGTGTTTTATGTTTTGCGTTTTATTTTGTGCGTTTTGTGTTTTATGTTTTGCGTTTTGTATTTTGTGTTTTATGTTTTGCGTTTTATGTTTTTGTGTTTTATGTTTTATGTTTTATGTTTTGCGTTTTGTATTTTGTATTTTATGTTTTGTGTTTTATGTTTTATGTTTTGTGTTTTGTATTTTGTGTTTTATGTTTTGTGTTTTGTTTTATGTTTTATGTTTTATGTTTTATATGTTTTGTTTTGCGTTTTGTATTTTGTTTTTATGTTTTGTGTTTTGTGTTTTATGTTTTATGTTTTTGTGTTTTATGTTTCGTGTTTTTGTTTGTGTTTTATGTTTTTATGTGTTTTGTGTTTTATGTTTTTGTTTTATGTTTTGTATTTTGTTTTATGTTTTATGTTTTGTTTTGTGTTTTATGTTTTGCGTTTTGTATTTTGTATTTTATTTTGTTTTGTTTTATGTTTTGTGTTTTTGCGTTTTGTATTTTGTATTTTATGTTTTATGTTTTGTGTTTTATGTTTTATGTTTTGTGTTTTATGTTTTGCGTTTTATGTTTTATGTTTTATGTTTTGCGTTGGAGAACCGACGGCCTCTGACTCAGACACGTGTGAATGAAACAAAACCACGACAGAACAGGGATCGACTGAAACCGCGTGCGAAGCTGCAGATTCGAGGCCGTGTAAAAGTGAAAGTGAAACGTACTGAGTTTGACGAGCGTGTCCGTGAACTTCTCGCAGTTGACGGCGACGCGACAGAGCAGGTGAATGAACTGGTGGTAGGACAGGAAGTAGTCCAGCAGCATGCGGTCGTACACCTCGTCTTTACCCTGCGGCGCGGGAAAAAACAGAATCACACAGAGGAAACATCACACGACACCAGCGAAAAAAGAAAAAACAACAACAACAAATGCACAACAAATGGATCCTGTAGAAAAGTTTCAGGTATTTGTACATTTTACAGCAGATACTTTTTACTTTTACTTCATTACATTTGAGCAGGTGTTTGTAGTTTGTGTCCACTTCGTTTTTTTTTAACTGGACTGAAAAGTAAAAAGTGTTTCTTGTACGATTTGAGTGATTGTTTTAACACCGACAGAAGGTTTTGAGTCGGACTGGGACCAAAATTCAGCCGTGGTATTTTTCCTCTGGACCAGCTCCACAAAGGCTCAGAAATGTACGATCTGAGTCGCCTTTTTTTTTTTTTTTTTTTTTTTTACAAACAAACAAACAAACAAACAAACAGCCCATTTTACTCATAACAACACTGAGTTTTAATACATTTTACACACAAAACGGAAAAAAAAATTAAAAATGTAAACGATAAATATCTCCATCTCTCTATCTCTCTCTCTCTCTCTCTCTCTCTCTATCTATCTCTCTCTCTCTCTATCTCTCTCTCTCTCTCTCTTTATCTCTCTCTCTCTCTCTCTCTCTCTCTATCTCTCTCTCTCTCTATCTCTCTCTCTCTATCTATCTCTCTCTCTCTTTATCTATCTCTCTCTCTCTATCTGTCTATCTCTCTCTTTATCTATCTCTCTCTTTATCTCTCTATCTCTCTCTCTCTTTCTCTCTTATCTATCTCTCTCTTTATCTCTCTCTCTTTATCTCTCTCTCTTATCTCTATCTCTCTCTTTTATCTGTCTCTCTCTTTATCTATCTCTCTCTTTATCTGTCTATCTCTCTCTCTATCTCTCTCTCTCTCTCTCTCTATCTCTCTCTCTCTTATCTCTCTCTCTCTCTCTTATCTCTCTCTCTCTCTCTCTCTCTTATCTCTCTCTCTCTTCTATCTCTCTCTCTTTATCTCTCTCTCTCTCTCTTATCTCTCTCTCTCTCTCTCTCTATCTATCTCTGTCTCTCTCTTTATCTATCTCTCTCTCTATCTGTCTATCTCTCTCTCTTTATCTCTCTCTCTCTTTATCTCTCTCTTATCTATCTCTCTCTTTATCTCTCTCTCTCTATCTATCTCTCTCTCTCTATCTCTCTCTTCTATCTCTCTCTCTCTCTCTATCTCTCTCTCTATCTCTCTCTTTATCTCTATCTTTTTATCTCTCTCTCTATCCATCTCTCTTTTATCTCTATCTCTTTATCTGTCTCTCTCTCTCTGTATATCTATCTCTCTCTCTTTATCTATCGCTGTATCTCTATCTGTATATATCTCTATCTCTATTTCCATCTCTCTCTCTCTCTCTGTCTCTCTCTTTCTCTCTCTCTATTTCCATCCATCTCTCTGTCTCTCTCTCTTTCTCTCTCTCTCTTTCTCTTTCTCTCCTCCAGTGGAGCGGAGACTTTCTGTATAAAACATTCACATTATTTGTTTGTAAAACTTTGGACGTTTCACAAACTGATGCAGGACGAAGCTCCGCCTCCGTCCGTCTGCTGAACACGAACAAACATCCACATAACCAACCAACGTCTTTTATTATAGAAAAAAAAACATATTTCAACTATTTTAGCCCAAATGATGTGATTATTTTCAGATTTTTAATCATATTTGACAACATGAAAACAGTGTAAACTCGCTGCAGTGTTTTATGGGAAGGTTCTTTGGGGCAGGAGACATTTTCAGTCGGTTTATTCGGACGATAAGTGAACGACAAGCCAAACTCTTCACATTTACACAGATATTTAACGCGTTTAACAACTTATTTGACGCGTATTACAAGCTTATTTGACCATAAACGTCAAATAACAACCATTTGACGCGTCGAATCATTCTTATTTAACGCGTTAATTCTACCTATAATAATGATCCTCCCACTGCTGAGTTCTCGTGTTTCATTTTCTCCTCCTTTGACGATTGTAAACGGACAATTATAAATAATCAGTTGCTTAATGACGACCGTTTTAAACTTGACAGACGACAATTTACACAGTGTGAGTTTTATTTTTTAAGAGTAAAGATCGTGTGTAGTGATTGGCCGAGAGCGTTTTAAACCCACTGACTGGGAGGAAACAGTGTTATTGTAAGTGTTATAAGCTTGTAATACGCGTTAAATCAGGTGTTAAACGCGTTAAATAAATGTGTAAGTGTGAAGAGTTTGACTTGTCGTATGCGCGAGGCAGACGACTTCCAGACGTAAAACCTGCACTGTTTGGTTTTTCAATTGGAGTCAAGTAAAGATAAAATACGAGCGAAACCGTTTCTGCAAATTCTTCACATTCTTCTTGGGTGGGACTGTCGAGATCCCAAGCACGCGTTTTGGGCCAGTCCAAATTGAAGACCGGGGGTGGACTGGTTGTACAGAAGGTTTCCAGTCTGAACCTGTACATGAAATTACACAGAACTGTTGAGAAAATCGAATGTGCAGCTCTGATCACTACATTTAAAGGGATAGTTCAGGTTTTTTGACATGAATCTGTGTGTCGTCCCCGTCAGCAGTGTGGTGCATCCACTCTGACTTCACCTCCGACAGCGTCCGGTGAGCCCAGATCCTGGCCGGTTTTGGTGCTGAGGAAAGTAGTTCGGCGAGTTGTGCTGGGGACATTAAAATAAAGTGTTTTTCTTCTCAAAACAACCTGTGTTCAGAAGAGTGACACATTTGCACCACAAAACCTCCGTCCTCTAAAAAGTCAGACCTCATAATCGCTTGGCGCTATTTTCTCTCCGTACGTATCACTGCGCGCTCGTTTCACTTTGTTAACTGCTCGGAATGTCAGCGACAACATGTTTGATGACGACACCGATGATGAAGAAATTTTAGCACAGACCCAATGGGAGATCTTTTTGAACCTGAATATACGTCCGTTACAGGAAAACGGTGAAATTTGTGCGGAGATTCAGACAGATTTTTGTTGTTACAGCCCGGAAAATCGCACGTTCGCACCATTTTTTAGATATATTCTTATGTATCTTATACCAGCTTATATACCCATCACGCCAGCTCTGACATTAGGTCTCTCATGTCGCGGCGTCACCGGTCTGAACAAGTAAACACTGCTGAACAACTTAAGAAAACGATTGATCCGTGCGCGGCTGTCACCTGGCGGCCGCGCGCAGTGATACGTACGGAGAGAAAATAGTGCCAAGTGATTATGAGGTTTGACTTTTTAGAGGACGGAGGTTTTGTGGTGCAAATGTGTCACTCTTCTGAACACAGGTTGTTTTGAGAAGAAAAACACTTTATTTTAATGTCCCCAGCACAACTCGCCGAACGACTTTCCTCAGCACCAAAACCGGCCAGGATCTGGACTCACCGGACGCTGTCGGAGGTGAAGTCAGAGTGGATGCATCACACTGCTGACGGGGACGACACACAGATTCATGTCAAAAAACCTGAACTATCCCTTTAACACTTTAACAGTTCTCATAATCTCTGTGAAATACTTTTTACTCTAAAAGTATAGTTTTAGATGGGCACTTCAACGGGATAAGAAGGTTTCAGTCACGTGATCACGATGACGCGCAAATTTCAGGTGGAGGGCAGGAAGTGAAGACAAACACGACAAACAAACACGACAAACAAACGCGGCTCTGGAGAACACAGACATGGAGAAGAGTTTTTATTGTCAGGATTTAGAGCCAGTAACGAGGCAAAAAGTACGAGCAGTTAGTCGACAAATATATCGGACGTGACCCTGATCTTATTGAAAATGAGAGAATTTTCAACCGAAGTAAAAGATTTGCCGACAATCGAGGCAGAGGAGATCATGAACTATTTAGCTCTTCAGACGTCGTTCTACACCAGACAACAGATGAAGGCAAAGTACAAAAGTCTGGAGGCATAGAACTTTTTTTGTCAGTGGATGGATCCTCAACCTCGGTGCAAAACGTCTAAATGATGATGATGGTTTGGTCTTGGCCGGGGTGAGTGTTTCTCTTATTTTATGTGTATAAACGTTACGGGAAAAACTGCAGTGTATCGGCAGTGACCGATTTATCTGAACTATTTAATGTCAACAAACGTCGTTAGTCGTTAATGATTCGTTTATGTTTAGGTAAACCACAAAAAACTATTGATCTTTGTAACAAACCTTTGTTGAAGTGTCACTGCAGACACGAGCATCAGTGAATTCTGCTCCTCCCGACTGTAAACAGGTTTGTAATCCACTTTTTACGGTGTTGTTTGACCTTTGTGGACGACTATATTCGGTTCTCTAAAAAAAAAAAAAAAAATCGCTTTTCCTTCTCTCGGTTAGAACGATTGGCACAGCTGTAAACGACACAACACGTCTGCATTTTCCTCCAGTCGGTTCACTTCCTGCCCTCCGTCTGATTTTGCGCTGACGTGAAACCCAGATATACTTTTATTTAATTCGATTTTTATACGTGATACTTACTTTTACTTGAGTCATTTCTTGTCCCTGTGTCTGCACTTTAACTTAACAAAACTGAGTACTTCACCCATCACTGTTTAGAGTTTTAAAAAAGTCCTACACCTGCATTTGTCTCCTCCTCAGTTTCATTTGGATTTAAACGTTTACGTGATCTTTTTAAATCGGAATTCGCGTTTCTTCGGGATTAAATCTCTCGTGCGGACGTGGCGTCGGCCCGCGGAAGGTTCTGGCGTCTCGTACCTTGCTGCTCTCCACCATCGACGGCAGCAGACACATGTTGAGCTCAGGTCGGGGCGGGCGGATGTTGTTTTTGGCTCCCATCAGTTTGATGTTCTCCCGACACGGCAGGTACGGCCCGAAGGACACTGAGGGCGACACACAGGCATCAGCGTCAACACCGAGAACACACACACAACTCTTTCTCAACACAGATATTTCTCTTTTTTTCTGGGTGTATGTTTCAGCAGACGTGAGTGTGGAGTTCTGTGGGGCTGCGTCGGGAGGCGGGACTCACTGGGGATGTTGCTGTGGTGGTAGGTGCAGTGGTTGTGCTGTAGAAACGGGACCAGCGTGTGGAGGAAATCATGAGGACTGAGCAACACCAGCTCCTTCAGCACGTCTGCCACAGAACAACAAGGAGGACAAAATCAGGTTAAAGTCCCTGGTCCGGTCCCTGGTCCGGTCCCTGGTCCAGGCCTCATGTTTTTCATTAAACAGAGAATTAAATGTTAAGATTGTAAATCGATAAAAACACTTAAAATTCCTTAAAATGAGCAGGTTGAGCCAGAAATTCAATCTCGAGTTTGACTCCAGGTTTAGTTCCAGGTCCGGTCCTGGTCCGGAGCTGATTTTGTTCTGACTCAGTCCCTGGTCCAATACCTGGTCCAGTCTGAGCTTTGTCCCTGGTCAAGTCCCTGGTCAAGTCCCTGGTCCGATACATGGTCCAGTCTTGGCTTTGTCCCTGCTTCTGTCCCTAGTTGAGTCCCCGGTCCAGTCCGTGCTCCAGTCCGTGTTTTAGTCCCTGGTCCAGTCCGTGGTTTTAGTCCCTGTCCAGTCCGTGGTCCAGTCCGTGGTCCAGTCCCGTGGTCCAGTCCGTGTCCAGTCCGTGTTTTAGTCCGTGGTCCAGTCCGTGGTCCAGTCCGTCCAGTCCGTGGTCCAGTCCGTGTCCGTGGTCCAGTCCGTGGTCCAGTCCCTGGTCCAGTCCGTGTTTTAGTCCCTGGTCCAGTCCCTGGTCCAGTCCGTGTCCAGTCCGTGGTCCAGTCGTGTTTTAGTCCGTGGTCCAGTCCGTGGTCCAGTCCGTGGTCCAGTCCGTGGTCCAGTCCGTGGTCCAGTCCGTGGTCCAGTCCGTGGTCCAGTCCGTGGTCCAGTCGTGTTGTACCTAAACATGCGTTCCGCAGCTCTGGGGGGCTGTAGGAGTTCAGCAGAGTCAACAGTTTGTGGGCGAAGTCGATTCTCTCCTGCCACTGGATCAGAGCCTGTTTCACGTCTGAAAAACACAAAAACACAAAAAACAGGGTCAGAGTCTGAGTGAAAAGTGGTCAAACAGTTTTCATTTTCAGTACGTCACAGTTGGGACTTTGACCCAGTTGGAGGAGGTGAACCAAAACACACACACCACTTTAATACAGGTGCACTGTCAGGTGCTCTGTCAGGTGCACTGTCAGGTGCTCTGTCAGGTGCTCTGTCAGGTGCACTGTCAGGTGCACTGTCAGGTGCTCTGTCACTGTCAGGTGCTCTGTCAGGTGCTCTGTCAGGTGCTCTGTCAGGTGCTGTCAGGTGCTGTCAGGTGCTCTGTCAGGTGCTGTGTCAGGTGCACTGTCAGGTGCACTGTCAGGTGCTCTGTCAGGTGCTCTGTCAGGTGCACTGTCAGGTGCAGGTGCTCTGTCAGGTGCACTGTCAGGTGCTCTGTCAGGTGCTCTGTCAGGTGCTCTGTCAGGTGCTCTGTCAGGTGCTCTGTCAGGTGCTCTGTCAGGTGCACTGTTATGTTTCTCATAAGAGGAAAACAATGAATAAACTCATCTCCAAAACACACGACAACAACTGGGACAGACACACTCCTCCTGTCCTCTCTGTCTCCTGTCCTCTCCTGTCCTCTCTGTCCTCTCTCTCTCTCTCTCTCTCTCTCTCTCTGTCCTCCTCTCTCTCTCTCTCTTCTCTCCCTCTCTCGTCTGTCCTCTTCTTCTCTCTTCTCTCCTCTCTTGTCCTCTGTTGTCTCCTCTCTCTCCTCTCCGCTCTGGTTTTCTTTCTCCATAAACTCAGGGAGGAGCAGAGTCTCGCAGCAGGATTCACATCCGTCTCACTCTTTCATAGATTTTTCTGCCGCTGGACTTATTTTCTCGACTGAACCGTTCGCTCTGCTCCACACGTGAACAAACGGCGCCGCGCGATGCCGTCGTCGGGTCGCGGCTCTGTTGGGCTGCGCGGGTGTGAGTGCGGAACACAGAACCCGACAGGAAACGGCGCGGTTCTAAAGTCCACGTGTAAAGATTTGTGCCCTCAGTGTAACAAACACAGTGTGAACAGGTTCAGACGAGTGATTTGTTTCCGTCTCGTGTATGTTTCTCACCTTTCCTCTGCAGGTAGGGCCTGGTGGACTTGAGCACCGAGAGGAAGATGGACAGCAGCTCCACCAGGTCTCCGGTCACGTGACACGCCGTCGCCTCGTGGTACATCATGTGCAGCGTGTTAAAAGACTGAAGAGACAAAGAGAAACAAATCTGCATCCCGTCCTCACTCAGAACGACGACGGAGGATGAGGGTCAGATAAAAACAAAAAACATGCTGGCGCTACGAGAATAAAGTCGGAACATTTTGACATTAAGTCGTAATTTTATGAGAATAAAGTGTCAAAATAAAGTGTTAATATCAGGAGAATATCTGCGGCTCGTGGAGAATTTGGAGCATTTTGTAAAGGAGAAGAATCTGTGGATCATTCGTTCATTCGACTGAACAAGGACTGAATCAGGTCCAGAACCAAACCAGAAAGACCAGGACTGAGACCGGGACCAGACCAGGACTGAAAATGGTTTAGTCCTGGTTTAAGTCACGGAAATGGGAAATGGTGTTTCCATGACTTTAAAATGCGATGAGGGAATAATGCGCCGCATACGGACTGAACCAGGACTGAACCAGGACTGAACCAGGACTGAACCAGGACTAAACCAGGACTAAACCAGGACTGAACCAGGACTGAACCAGGACTAAACCAGGACTAAACCAGGACTAAACCAGGACTGAACCAGGACTGAACCAGGACTAAACCATTTTCAGCCCTGGTCTGGTCCCGGTCTCAGTCCCAGTCTCAGTCCTGGTCCTGTTCCCGGTCTCAATCCTGGTCTCAGTTCTTGTCTGGTCCCGGTCTAAGTCCTGGTCTCAGTCCCGGTCTGGTCTCGGACCTCGTTTAGTCCTGGTTCAGTCCTGGTTCAGTCCTGGTTCAGTCCTGGTTTAGTCCTGGTTTAGTCCTGGTTCAGTCCTGGTTTAGTCCTGGTTTAGTCCTGGTTCAGTCCTGGTTTAGTCCTGGTTCAGTCCGGAGGCGCAAATAATGAAGAAAATTGTTGTTTTTTTCTTATTTTTAGTTTTATATTGAAAAACAAGGTTTTTTTTCTGCCGCATTTTTCACTTTGACTTTGATTTTATTACGACTTTTATTCTCATAATATTACGACTTTAATGTCAAAATGTTACGACTTTATTCTCGTAGCACCAGCATGTCTTTTTTTATTATTATTATTATATTATTATTATTATTTTTTTTTTTTATCTGACCCTTTTACTCCGTCGTACAGAAGGATTAAGATCATCGTCTGTGTAGTTGTTTTTGGTTTTTTTCAGGTGTTGTTGTATCTGCAGTGTGGTGCGTTGAGCAGCAGGGGGCAGCGTTACCTCGGTCATGAGGATGAGTCCTCTGTTGAACACCACCAGGAGCCTGTCCTCGTCGTTCTCCAGTAAAACTCTGAAGGCACTGCAGAAGAAGAAGAAGAAGAACATGAACACGGTCAGTATGTTCACGTCAGCAGAACTCGGTCAGAGCAGAGAGTAAAGAGACTAAACTAATTCTACAATCGTCACGTAAAATCTAAACGTCTTAATCCGTGTGTCGTTCATTTGTTTTTCAAAATAAAACCAAAAATAAGAAAACAAAAAAACAACTTTATTATTTGTCTCCAAAACCAAAATGAAAAAACAGATAATGATTTGTTTTTTCAATTGTCGATTTTGTGGAAATGGAAAAAACATAACGACCGTTTACATGGACTTCAGTGACTGAACCAGGACTGATCCAGGTCCGGGACCAGACCGGGACTAAGACCAAGACCAGACCGAGACTGAGACCAGTCCGGAACCAGACTGGGACCAGACCAGGACCAGACCGGGACCAGACTGGGACTGAGACCAAGGCCAGACCAAGACCAGACCGGGACCGAGACAGGGACCAGACCGAGACTGAGACCGGGAACAGACTGAGACCAGACCAAGACTGAGACTGAGACCTGGACCACACCTGGACCAGTCTCGGTTTGGTCCTGGTCTGGTCTCGGTCTCAGTCCCAGACCTGGATCAGTCCCGGTTCAGTCCGTATTCGGTCCAGACGTCCGACGTCACAGTCACTGAAGTCACGTCTGACGCTCTGTGGTCAAACTCTACCTGGAGTCACAGAGCCTCAGACAGAGCAGTGCCTCCGGTTAGCGTCCGTCACGTCCCCAGACTCGGTGTCAAGTGTTTGTTTTTGTTTTTTTGTCGTGTTTTTGTGGCGGCGTCTCTGACCTGATGAGCGTGGTCCAGCAGGAGCGTCCGTCCAGACAGCGCAGGTAGCAGCTGATGGTGGTTTTCTTGAACTGTTTGATGTCCTCCAGCTCCTCGTCCCTCATGTCCGGCCTCTGAGCCACGAACAGCTGCATGAGGCTGAACAGCTCCTCCACCGCCTGCAGGGGGCGCAACACAGTCATAAAACAACACAACAGCTCCTCCACCGCCTGCAGGGGGCGCAACACAACCATAAAACAACACAACAGCTCCTCCGCCGCCTGCAGGGGGCGCAACACAACATAAAACAACACAACAGCTCCTCCACCGCCTGCAGGGGGCGCAACACAGTCATAAAACAACACAACAGCTCCTCCACCGCCTGCAGGGGGCGCAACACAACCATAAAACAACACAACAGCTCCTCCGCCGCCTGCAGGGGGCGCAACACAACCATAAAACAACACAACAGCTCCTCCGCCGCCTGCAGGGGCGCAACACAGTCATAAAACCAACACAACAGCTCCTCCACCGCCTGCAGGGGGCGCAACACACAGTCATAAAACAACACAACAGCTCCTCCACCGCCTGCAGGGGGCGCAACACAACCATAAAACAACACAACAGCTCCTCCACCGCCTGCAGGGGGCGCAACACAGTCATAAAACAACACAACAGCTCCTCCACCGCCTGCAGGGGGCGCAACACAACCATAAAACAACACAACAGCTCCTCCACCGCCTGCAGGGGGCGCAACACAACCATAAAACAACACAACAGCTCCTCCGCCGCCTGCAGGGGGCGCAACACAACCATAAAACAACACAACAGCTCCTCCACCGCCTGCAGGGGGCGCAACACAACCATAAAACAACACAACAGCTCCTCCGCCGCCTGCAGGGGGCGCAACACGAACCAGGGAAGGTAACAGATGCATGTGACAGATAATACTCCCTACAACTGTACAACTCACCCTTATGTCACAGATAATACTCCCTACAACTGTACAACAACTCACCCTTATGTCACAGATAATACTCCCTACAACTGTACAACTCACCCTTATGTCACAGATAATACTCCCTACAACTGTACTGTACAACAAACTCACCCTTATGTAACAGATAATACTCCCTACAACTGTACAACAACTCACCCTTATGTGACAGATAATACTCCCTACAACTGTACAACAACTCACCTTATGTGACAGATAATACTCCCTACAACTGTACAACTCACCCTTATGTCACAGATAATACTCCCTACAACTGTACAACAACTCACCCTTATGGAACAGATAATACTCCCTACAACTGTACAACAACTCACCCTTATGTCACAGATAATACTCCCTACAACTGTACAACAACTCACCCTTATGTCACAGATAATACTCCCTACAACTGTACAACAACTCACCCTTATGTCAACAGATAATACTCCCTACAACTGTATAACAACTCACCCTTATGTCACAGATAATACTCCCTACAACTGTACAACAACTCACCCTTATGTGACAGATAATACTCCCTACAACTGTACAACTCACCCTTATGGAACAGATAATACTCCCTACAACTGTACAACAACTCACCCTTTTGTCACAGATAATACTCCCTACAACTGTACAACAACTCACCCTTATGTGACAGATAATACTCCCTACAACTGTACAACTCACCCTTATGGAACAGATAATACTCCCTACAACTGTACAACAAGACCCTGATTAGAGCCTAATTAAAGGATGATTAAACTCTTGTTAAACTTGGACCCTGACTAGACCCTAATTAGACCCCTCTTCCCCCCCTTTACCCCTCCTCCTCTCTCACCTCCTCCTCCTCTCTCTTACCCCCCCTCCTCTCTTACCCCTCCCTCCTCTCTTACCCCCCTCCTCTCTTACCCCCCTCCTCTCTCCTACCCCCCTCCTCTCTTACCCCTCCTCTCTTACCCCTCCTCTCTTACCCCTCCTCTCTTACCCCCTCCCTCTCTCCCTCCCTCCTCTCTTACCCCCCCTCTCTCTCTTACCCCCCCTCCTCTCTTACCCCTCCTCCTCTCTTACCCCCCTCTTACCCCTCACCCCTCCTCCTCCTTACCCCTCCTCCTCCTCTCTTACCCCCTTACCCCACTCCTCCTCTTCCTCCTTACCCCTCCTCCTCTCTTACCCTCCTCCTCTCTCTTACCCCCTCCTCTCTCTCCTCCTCTCTTACCCCCCTCCTCTCTTACCCCCTCCTCTCTCTCCTTACCCCTCCTCTCTCTCTTACCCCTCCTCTCTCTCATCCTCTCTCTACCCCCTCCACCCCCTCCTCTCTTACCCCCCTCCTCCTCTCCTCTACCCCCTCCTCCTCTCTCCTACCCCCTCCTCTCTCTCTCTCCCCTCCTCCTCTCTTACCCTCCTCCTCTCTCCCTCTCTTACCCCCCCCCCTCTCTCTTACCCCGGGGTACTGGCTGGCGTGGGGCGTCAGGTTCTTGAAGGCCCACTGGATGTTCTGGTGGGAGGCGAGGGCGCGGGTGAAGGCGGGCGAGGCCTCGCAGCACAGACGCAGGATCCCGTAATACGCCGGCAGCATCCCGCGGTTGAACAGCACCACCTCCTGGTCGTCGTGGTCGGCCAGGATGTAGTTGAAGGCGATGTTCTTGGTGACCACCGGGTTCTGCACCACCAGCCTGACGTTCTCGGGACAGTCCACGCACACGTTGTACCAGAACGAGAGCAGCGCCTGTTTGTTGTGATTTGTGGCGATGGCGGGTTCCGACAGTTTGGGCTGAAACACAAAAGAGAAAAACGTCACGGGTTTGTTAAAGCTGCAGGGTGGAACTTCTTCTCTGCTGGAGGCTCCGTCAAACGCTTTTCTCCATGGAGAGGTTATTGTTTTGTCTGAAATGTTCCACTGTGTGGCATTAAAACTTTCCATCTTCACAGAGACCAGACAAAGCTACAGATCAGATCTGTGGAGAGGCGACCCCACTCACAGTCACAGTGTCTGTTTTTCCAGGTGTTTTTGAGCTTTAAAATCACCTGTAACTGAATAAATGGACCAGGTCCAGCAGAAGTAAACAACAAGACCAAAACTTCAAGTGAATTCATCTGATATAAAAGTGTATTGAACAGATACATATGTACTCGAGTTTATCAAACTGTTGACCTTTTTTCTGTTCCATTTTTGGTTCTAAAGTTCCAGACGTTTTTAAACAGACCATGAATGAAACATGGAACAAAAATTATTTCCCAAATTTCAAAGACCTGAAAATCATGTAAATAAATGTTTGTATTTCATCATATCTTGTGTTATTCCATCTTTGAACTGTTGATGAAGGGACAGGATATAAAAAAAAAAAAGTATTTAAAATGATAAAAATGTTCTTGGAAGGACTGACATATTTTATAGAAATAGTTTCTTTCATTTTGAAGTAATATTAAAATATTCAGAAGAAAAAAGTGACAAATGATGTAAAATCCTGCACCTTCTACTTGTTTGTACAATTTTCCCTCCGTTACTTTTCCCTCCGTTACCATGAACTTTCTTAATAAAAAATCTCATGAGTCAAAAAGTAAGAGGTTTTTCAACCTAATCTTGTACCATATGGTAGAAAACTATATGAAGCAAATATTCAAACCAGTTTGTTAAGGATATGAAAGTGAGAACCAAGAGTTATCACTGTTTGGATTTATTGACCAAAAAGTGCTGCATATTTCATTCCCTCCGTTACCGACATGAGTTTTTTAATTTTTTGTCTTGAACTTGAAAGAATCTCACAGGTTTAACTTGACCCTGTTGGAGTGTAACTCTTTCCTACATTCTGATACTTTACTTATTTCAATAGTTCCTCTAGTTTCTGAATAAGAGACATTTGAATGTCAAAAATCTGACCCTGTTTCCCTCCGTTACCACTTGACTGAACCCTAATGTAGTAGAGTTGTTTAGTGTCACACTGCGGAACATTCCAGGCACAGAAATGACGTCTCCATAGAAACAAGCTTGTGACGGACCCTCAACCAAAAAGTTACACAGTGCACCTTTAATACTTTACACCAGGAGTGTCAAACATACGGCCCGGGGGCCAGATCTGGCCCTCCAAGACCTTTAATGTGGCCCTTGGGTGATTTTCTACTCAAATATTTTAATTCTATTTTCTATTAAAATCTTGTTAATTTTGTGTGGTGTTTATCACAGCAGCGTCTCCAGCGTCTCTGTACGTGGCCCCTCCCACCAGAGCAGCACAAATGAAGACTTGTCTCTTTCCAAACGCTCTTAAAGGACGATCGTTTTGACTGTTGACCGTGACACACTCATCAGAAAAATGTCCAACATGAGAAAAGTGGAGCCGTTTATGTTTACAGACAAGTTCATGTTCAAACTTTGTGTTGAAATTGTATTTTTCTTAAAGTTTCAGGTTGTTCATAATATTATAATATTTAGTAAAAGAAAGAGTTCATCAATTCAAAAAGATTTGTGTAATAGATTTGTGTTTCTCTGCACAAATATTTGAACTTCTTGTTATTTTGGGGTTTATATGACATGAGTTTTCTGATCCAGACACTTTGGATCAAGTCGGTTGGACTCGACCCCGGAACAAAATGAGTTTGACACAAATTTTCCAATCTCCATAGAAACAACCAGACCAAACTTAACATGATAAATATTTATGACAATAATATTCTTATATTTTTATTTGTATGTGTAAAATTCTTTATAATTCAATTATAAAGAATTTCACAGTAATCCATATACAAAACTCATCAAAGTCATAATTTTCAGGTTCTATGTTCCACCTTCCGTGTTTCGTGTGTTCTGCGTCGAGGGACACGGTGGAGGAGTTTTTCACGTTTGTTTTATGACGCATCGGAAACGTCGTTTAAAAAGAGTTTGAGGAAATGTTTGAGAATCATTCAATGTGGATGTTTCATTGTTTTAATCCAAGTTTGAATCAAATGAATTTAATCTGAGGTGTGTAAAAG